GTCTCTCCGCAAGGAGAAGATCATTGTATCGTCGCTTGAGGAGGAGATGGGTACCCATGCGTCCCTCTTGTGGTTTCTTTTCACAGGAACCTATTCACGCCGTGGTGCCTCTCACCAGCCCTTATGTACTCTTCACAGCGTCGGCAAAGGATGAAAAGAAGGCCATGGGCAAGGCCGAGGGCGACCAGTTCGAGTTCTCACTGGAGGAAATGGTACGCTGTGCCACTCGTGCTGCGATCGCCCCAACAACTTACATCTGGCACAGGGAGTGGAGGACATAAACAAGCGGATCTTGACCGAACAAAGCTCCGAGATCAAGAGCATTGAAAAGGACTTAACGCAAATCAACGAGGTTGGGCTAAACTTCCTTGCTTTGGCAACATTGGACTGTTGCGCCCCCGTCGTGTGTTCACCGTGTGTGTGTGTGTGTGTGTGGTGGCGTGGGCGTGGGCGTGGGCGTGGGCGCCGTGTGCAGATGTTCAAGGACATGCGCCACATCGTTGAGGAAGCAACCCCGCAGCTGGATGCCGTGGAGGAAAAGGTGTCTGGGACCAAGGCAGCTACGGAAGAAGGCACAGTAACGTTGATGCAGGTAAGCCGTTTGTTCACCATCCCGTCCCTTAGGCGCACTTCGTTGTGCTGATGGCTTCGGCGCAGACAATGCGGGCGGTGATCATGGCCAGATGGAAGAAGCTGCTGATTGCCGCCATTATCCTGGCCCTCATCATCGTGGTGGCGATCATTGTCGCGATCATTGTGGTGTCCAACACCTAGAGGCCATTTCAGGCGCCAAGCTTGATGCACAAATCGTTGATTTTTATGTTGTTTGTATTTGAGTAGTTTATGCATAGTCATCGGCCAATTACAGAGAATCATTCTTCGATGAGTCTCGTTCATCTTAGAACGATGTTGCAAATGATGAAAGAGATTCTGGGTGTGAGTTGAGCACTATTGCTTTACTCGTCACCGTCGTCCCTCCTCCTGCCGTACGAGCCGCGGGTGTTCTCACGATCGTAAGGACGATCGCGGTTGCCGTACGAGGAACGGCCGCCACGGTCACCGCCGTAGCCGCCGCCACGACCACCGCGGAAGCCACCGCCGCCGCCACGACCGCCACGGAAGCCACCACGGCCGCCGCCGCCGCCGCCGCCATCACGGTCGGAGGCGCTGTCGACGCGGATCTCACGGCCGTCGAGCTCGGTCTGGTTGAGCGCGTTCTTGGCAGCTTCGGCCTCATCGGCGGAGGCGAAGGTAACGAAGCCGAAGCCGCGGGACTTGCCGGTGTCGCGGTCTTGAATGACCTTGGCTGTTGATGCGAGAGATTTACCACGTCGTAAGGGCTTGACGAACTTGGCGAGGCGGGTGGCGTGGCGGGTTGAGGACGTACCATCGACGACCTCGCCGTGCTGCTCGAAGGCGGACCTGAGGCTGTTGTCGTCCGTGCCCCACGAAAGACCTCCAACAAAGAGTTTGGCCGACATGACTCTTTGGTTTGGGAGGTGAAGTTGACGGTTTAGGCAAATGGGTCGCTCGGGTTGATGAAAATCATCTCATTATGAGGAATTCGGGAGATTGGATGATCGATTCAAGAAAGCGCGAGGGAGCAAAGGCGAGAGCTGGGAGCATAGCGCTAGATCAAACGATTGGGGACTTCTTGCGAAGGGAGAAAGGCGCTACGGTTATATAACGGGTGGGGGAAGAGCTGCTACGTGTAGGACGGAGAGGACAAAGATCAGGAGCGCCACCCGCCGGCTTCTTTTGTTTCCCCCTCCCCAAACTCCTCCGCCCGCTCCAGTTCCTGCCCATTTCTCTTGCGTCGCGTGTGCCGGCCGCACGTTGCCGGAGCCGGAGGCCAACGGCTTTGGACGGTGAAGGGGACAGAAAACGCAGTGGGTGCCCCACGCATCTTTCTATATTTGTGTTTCTTTTTTGATTCTTGGGGGGGGGAGGAGGGAATGGAGTGGCCAGAAGGTGGTCGTTGTAAAGTTGTGTATTTGAAAGCTCGCAACACTCGAGTGGTTCTAACGAAAAGCGATTGCTAACAGCAACCGGTGCTAAGGCGGGCGAAGCGAGTCAGTAGAGGGGGCGGGGGAAGCTGGTGAGCGTCGGCCAGGCGTGCTCTGCACACCTGATGAGGTACCTCACCTAGTGCTCCAGGGGCTTCAGATCCTGGTGGTGGAGACGCCCGTCGAGGTGCCGGTGGTGCCGAGGGGCGCGGTGGTGCTCGAGAGGGTGCTGCCGGAGGTGGTGCCCAGGGGCGTGGTGGTGCCGAGGAGGCCCTCGCCGATGGGGATGCGGCCGCCCGACACGCCGGGCAGGCGGACGAGGTGGACCTTGAGCACGCCGTTGTCCATGTGGGCCTTGACCTTGTTGGCGTCGACGGAGAAGGGGAGCATCATGCGGCGGTAGAACTTGCCGAAGTGGCGCTCGTTCTGGTAGTGGAAGCCGACCTCCTCCTTGCGGGTCTGGGGCTTGAGGGCGGCGAGGGTGAGGATGTTGTCCTGGATGGTGAGGCTGATGTCCTCGCGGGGCACGCCGGGCAGCTCGAACTCGACCCTCAGGTGGTCCTGGTCGACGTCGAAGATGTCGGCGCGGGGGCGCCACAAGGTGGCGTTGTCGATGTTGGGGTTATCGCTGATGCGCTCGTAGTGGGGCAGCTTCAGGAAGCGACCCTCGTCGATCGGGCCGCGGCCGCCGAGGCCCATACCCATGCCGCCGAGGCCCATGCCGCCGATGCCGCCCATGCCGGGAGCCATGCCCATGCCGCCGCCCATGCCGAGGCCGCGCTCGATGCCGCCGATGCCGCGCTCGATGCCACGCTCGATGCCGCCGAGCAGGCCGCCGCCCATGCCCATGCCGCCGGAGGGGTAGCTCTCGTAGCCGTAGCCGCCATAGCCCAGGTCACGGCCCATGCCCATCCCACCGTAGCCGAGGTCGCGGCCGTAGCCACCGTAGCCACCGTAGCCGAGGTCGCGGCCGTAGCCGATGTCGCGGCTCAGGGGCATGGCGCCGTAGCCGATGTCGCGGGTGCCCATGAGGGGCATGGCGCCGTAGCCGATGTCGCGGGTGCCCATTATGGGCATGGCGCCGTAGCCCAGGCCGCGGGTGGCGCCGAGGCCGTAGGCGGGCTCGACGATGCGGCCGTAGCCGTAGTTGTCGTAGCCCGAGCGGTCCACGCCGAGGTGGCCGCCGTGGTGGTGGTGGATGCCCTTGTCCTTCTTGGTGCCGTACATGCGCTTGTAGTCCTTCTTGGACAGCTTGCCCCGGCGGTGGAGGTCGTAGTCGCGGTCCATGAGGTACTGGTCGCGGGTGCCCAGGTTGATGTCGCGGTGGAGAGACGGGTCGACGTAGTCGTAGCCGGCGCCAGTGAAGACGTTGTCAACGATGGGTCTTTCGAGGGTGGCCATGTTGTAGAGTTGTTGAAAGTGGGTATTGGAAGTGGTTGTTGGTGTGTTGAGGGTTGGTTGAATGTATGAGGGAGAGTGGGGGTGCGTTATATAGTTGGCCAGTGGTGAAATTTCGCCCTGGAGTCATCCGCGAGCCTGCTGCTTCCTGCCCGAAGGTCGCTCATCCCGTCGAACTCTCGAAGGTTCGAGGTCCACGGGCGCGATCTTGTGGGTCGCCCTCACATCTCTACCGCCCCACAGCACCTTGCCACAAGTGCTGTACGTGGTCGTGGGGCACTCGTGCGCAAGCCAGCTCTCGCCCCAGACAAGTGATCCAACGTGAATTTCCTTTGCAGCACCAACAGCGAAGCAATCATTTTGGCCCAATGACAAAATGCAGATTAATGTTGGACGGACCAACCACAGTGGAGTGTTTCAGTTTAGATCGAAATTCCGCTAACCCATAAGCGCACTCGTCCCTCCGAAGAGACTCTGCAGACGAACGTGTACAGAGCTTCTCTTACCTAAGTCCTGACCGAGCTGGTGGTCCCTGCCGAGGTGCCCGTAGACGCCCCCGTGGTGCCGGTCGTGCTCGCGCCCTCGATGGGGATGCTCCCCTCCCTAATCGGGATTCTCTCCGTCCCTTCCTCCTTGTTCAGGTGCACCTGTGTGGTGGTGTGGTGAACACTTGAGTCGCACCTCACGGCACTGCAATGGTGGCCAACAGAGGCGGGACCTTGAGCACTCCCAGCTCGAGGTAGGCGCGAACGGAGTTGGGATCGACGGCGAAGGGCAGGGCCAGGCGACGGTAGAACTTGCCGAAGTGGCGCTCGCTCTGGTAGTGGAAGCCGGCCTCCTCCTTGCGCGACTGGGGCTTGAGGGCGGTGAGGATGATGGTGTCGTCGCGCACCGTGAGGCTGATGTCCTCCCGCGGCACGCCCGGGATCTCGAACTCGACCCTCAGCGCGCCCAAGCCCAGATCGAAGATGTCGGCACGCGGGCGCCACAGGGTGAGTTCGTCGATGTTGGGGTTCTCCTCCACCCGGTTCCAGTCCCTCAGATTCCTGTACTTCGTCTCGTCCGCTGCACACCACGCGATTGACAAGCGTGAGCGCAGCAGGTCACCCGGCAAACACAGAAACAGCATCAAAGACGCACCTCTCCTACGGCCGGTGATGCCGAGGTCGTAGCCGGCCTCGCCGATTGCCTGCGGCTGTTGGAGACCGAAGCGGCCGCCGCCCGGGTAAGTGAGGGCGGGGTAGCCAAAGTCGTCGAACCCGCCGCCACGTCCGAAGCCATAGTCGAACCCAGCTGCAATTTCGGGGAACCAGACGATAAGCCAACACTTCCATTAAGTGCCGAAGAGGGGCAACAAGCCGAGCAGAGGCTGTACGCGTGTAGTCGAAGGGCGAGTAGCCGAAGCGATCGAACAAGCCTCCGCCGAAGCGCCTGCGGCCTACACAGACAACAAGGGAGAGTCAGTTAATCCCCAGTTTTATGACACCCACAAGCTGCGAGGAGGCGGTGGTTGCGTGACTGAGGTCAAAGTCGGTGTCGAGGTCGCGGTCGTAGGTCTTGCGCTTGCGCCCGACGGGGCCGTAGTCTCTGCCTCGGGTGTAGATGTCGTCGAAGCCGTAGGTCCTTTCTGTTGCCATTGCTACTCTGTGGTTGTTGGTGGTGGTGATGTTCTTCCTCCTTACAAGGTGGTGAGGGTGAATGCCATTGAACAGGGCTGGCTAGGGTCGTCTCCCAGGATTGGGCCACTGTCGCCCACCGGCGGACGACAAGACAGCGACAAGTCATCGGCCCATCGTTGGCCATCACGCCACATCAAACGGAAACAGTTGGCCATTTCTCATTTCTCATCTCTACCGTGCAACCAATGAAAAGCGGCAAAGCAATGAAGTCAGGGTTGATGTGTAAAAATGGAATTGCTTCTTTGTTTGTGATGAAGTACAGTCTAACTTGCAATCATACATGTGTATCAAGTGGGAGGTGGTGGAGGTGGAAAGAGAGATGGCAGGGTGCTGCTGCTGCTTGAAGAAAAAGAAGAAGAAGTGGCTGCTGGGAGGGTATGTACAATGGGCTGGGGCTCAGTGGCCTTAGTTGCTGATGCAGGAGGCCTGTGGCTGGCAGCAGCTGGTCTGAGAGCATGATGATGGCACCACAGTGCAGTAGCTTCCA